CAGACCTGCTTGACCAACTGCTAACTTGAGGTGTGTCCCAAGGATTTCACCTTCCTCTTCATCCTGCCACATTCAAATATGAGACCATTGTGTCAGCTCAGGCAGATGTCTGAGTGTTGGGTTGTGATTGAACATGGGCTAGTTTGGTTGTGCCAAAATTAAACCTGTAAAATGATAAGCAATTTAAAGCTTATGCCTAAGGCTTTTGAGATAAAAGTTTGTATTTTATTGCATATCCACATTAGCTGTAGGCACAATCAGAAGAGTGAGGAAGGCGAAGTTTTAAGATGTCTGCTGCTGATGAAACCTGGAGATTAACTAAGTGTTCATTATTAATCATATATAGGAAATAAATTCAGTGTAACTCGTGTCCAGCAGCTGGGTTTTCATATCTTGTTCATTTTTAGGGACAGTAGGAACCAGGGACATTTTGTACCGTGCAAATAGAGAGCACAGAGTTAAAGAATGTACTCCTAAACTGATCAATTTGTTTATCAGAGTAACAGAATAGCAGAACTAACATTTCTTTCTAGGAAATGTGTATTTTCTAATACATGCGTGATCTTCCCTTACTAGAAGCAAAGAGCAATGCCACTTGTATTTTGATGTGTCACTAAATTGTAATCTTACGGTGACCTGCTATGTAAAAAATACCTAACTACTCTAAGTAAAGAACATCTCAGCACAGCTGGGTCATGAGGATGTTTTCTCCATTTTTGGAATAAAACAGAAAGCTGTTCCATTCTATTTTTGCAGACTGTTTCCATATTGTATTTGAAATTCCTGATTCCACTTTTTTACTTACACACAGACTGTTCCACAGCCCAGAATAAACAAAACTGAATGCATGTTGGACACATACAGACCTTGCCAAAGGCATAAATTCTAATAAATGAGCCATATTCAAATTCTAATACTCCCAGGCTAATGGGACATTCCTATTGGTGAAGTCCTGTGTTGTTTAAAAAACAAAATTTTAGTATATCATTTTGAGGATATAAACTTACCTATTTGACTGAAATGTATTTGGTGTCCTGTTTCTATTGCACTTTTATACGGCTTTTCAGACTGTTCAGTTCAGCTCAGCTGAGTTTCCTGGACTTCTACATTCAGCCACATGCTGCACATTTTCACTCACCTACTTGTGCCTTACTTTCATTCATCTTACCTTGCATTTTAATGGTTGCACAATTTTCAGTGGGCCCAGACAGCGTCGTGGTTTTGATAGGGGTACGGGAAATTCCCTTTTATTTTGCTCAGTCAAATAAGTTAGAGGCCAGTGTCTGTACTTGCCTCGTGAGGGAAAAAAAACTTGCTTGTTCATTGTTTGTAGGTCTTCCCTATTCTGACTTTCAGCCCTATCTCAATCTGAGCTTCCTCTCCTGCAGTTAATTACCAGTCCTGGGTGGTTGTCTCAGCTCCTTTCCTCTTCTAGGAGTTGTGTTCATTAATATAAAACTCAAACCAGGTAAGTCTTCCACCTAGATTACAAATTTTTTTTCCCCTTACTCCTCTCAGCATCTTTCTCTTCTGGGCTTCAACAGTCCTGCTTTCTTTAAATACCTTTACCCCCATGCAACCTGTCTACAAGCCCTTGAGGTCCTCAGACTGAGCCCTTAGAGTCTTCATCCTGATTGTGTCACAGTCCCATAGCCCCATGTTCTCATCACAGTTCCAGTCTTGATTTTCTTCTCCTGAGTGTTGGGCTGTGTGTCAGAGGTGCAGCTCGACCCTCGCTCTGTGAGCCATCACTGTGCCTGCTGCTGGGTTCCTCAGAGCAGCAAGAACAACTGTTTGAATATTTTTAAGTGTGGGTATGCAGCCTAATACTTGAAGCTATTGTCCTCTTGTTAGCGCAGAGTAATGGTCTGATGGGATAATCTCCCAAGAGAAAAAATGCATACACTATAAAACATATCAACTGAGCTTCCAGAATGTGTAAAAAGAAGAATAGAGACTTCAGTGCTTTTGTTGAGTGTGAAACGAAGATATCCCGAAGCAGCGCTGACTCCAGCTGATAAATCCATCCTCATGATGCTGCGTTTAGATCTGAGCTACCCCGTGAGGGACGAGCTCTGGAACCTCCGCGCTCGCCGTGCGGTTGCTCCACGGCTGGACAGAAGCCAGTTGTGTTGGATTCCATAACCTGTTGATCAGTGAGCAGCTCTGGCAGTCTGGTGTGGATATCTTGGGCTTTTTAGTGGCATTTCCAGCCGAGTTTGCAGGGGCTTTGGCTTTTGAGCTCAAAAAGGCAAGTCATGACTGCTGTGTCGTTTGGAAGAATTGTGTAGTCAATGCTGAAAAGAATGATGTAAGAAAAAGGTTATTAAATTTTCGTTTCATCTGATTAGTTCCTACCAATCATGTAGAACAAATACATGCTAGAAATAGGCACCTGGCAGTAATTGTGTTTGAACCAAGCCAGTAATTAATATGTCCAACTTACAAATATTGAAAGAAAATGTTTTACATAATGATTATTCACACACACATGAAAAAGAAACTAAAACTAACATTTGTAAAGTCCTCTGAAGGCATGTCAAGTGCTCACATACAGTTCTGCCTTTGCTTCTATATTTCCGTTGTGTCTGGAATTGAATGCTTTTATCATAGATTAAATAATGAAAGCTTTGACGCAGGTGGTGATTAGGAGCATAACATTGTCATGGTATTAACTTCACCTTTATCAAAAAAACATGGGCTAATAAGTGTGGAAAGAAAACCTTATACAATTTCTCCTTTATCAGGTGAGAGAAGAGAAAATTGTGCGTGTTATGCACATTATGCATGTCTTAAATCTTCTCTATTCTGGAAAAAGTGCTTTTAGAACATCTAACATAAGTAGAAAGACAAACACAGAAAAATTATCCAGATTTTCAAGGAATTGCAGTCCGTCTTTTTAAACATTGATAATTTTAGAATAATTTTTTTAATAAAGTATGAAATTCGGCTTAATTTATTGGTTTAACGCCTTTGTATTTCCTTCTGTAAAACCTGCTTTTAAATTCAGTTACATCTTCAGTTTGTTAGATAAGTAATTAAAGTAATTTAAATGGCAATATTGCCTAAGGCAATTTCAGTGTTAACCAGAAAGCGTTTAGGTGGTGACTGGAGAATTTACCATTTTTGTTTAGAGTTTCAGCAACAAGTATTAAGCCTTTATAATTAACATTTATTATGTCTGGTAAGTAGTGCTCTATAATTTGAAGAAGTAGCTTTTTGCATTAATAATTTGTTAAAATATCACCATTCCACTATTTGATAATGCTATTTTACTATTTTTCTCTCAGTAGTGCTATCCCTTAAATATGAGGTCAGTGGTTAGTTACTGGGTTTTGCTTCAAGTTGTAAAGAAAACAAGAAAAAAACACCATCTTAATTACTTCACTGAATCTGGAGTAACAGTCTAGCAGCTCCTATCTTTGTTTCTCTGATTAAAATCTTGTGCGTGGTACAGTTTATAATTTATTGCTGCTTTTCCTTTCCTATTTTGTATATCCCTGTTAAAGCTGTTAATTCAGTGTATTTGGAGATATTTGTCTCATCGTTAATGGATTTGTTCATGCCGATTTGAATTGTTGACAGGATTACAAAACGTAAGCACTTTCTAACAAGTTATTTTGTACATATGATGTGGTGTTAAAAAAAATATCTCAGCAAGGTATACCTTTTGCACTTTGTAAATGAGTTAGCAGTGCTTCTGTCTGGTGAGGAGGTAGGGTGTTTATGCAATAACTTTTTAGGGCTGATTTGACAGTAAATGAAAAATTACTTCCCTGGCTCTGTGCACTTTTTTTCTTTCCCCAGAAGCACTGAAAACAAATGAGTTGATAGCAGCTAATTGCTGAGCACTGACAGGCTTCAGTCAAGGGGGGGCATCGTTGGTCTTTCACAAATAGACAATAACAAGTAAATCCATTTGACCATAAAGTGGCTGTGATATAGTAAATTACTTGCTCTTAATTTGTCTTAATTTGGGAACTCTCTAGCTCTAAAGTGCATCAAGAGCTTGTTTGTTTTGTATATATGCTTTAAATGATATTACATTGAAAGAATAGGGGATCTCTGTTCTTTCACTGTAATTGAAATGTAGGATTTGCATCAGTCAAATTCTGCCTGTTTGATTAGATCTAAGAAGTTTTTAAAGTGACAGTATTTTTCTGGGGAAGTAAATCTATATGTCTTGAAAACAGCTGCTGCAATCAGTATGCTGAATTTGAGGAGCAAGTGGGTAGTCTGACAAATACCAAATGCCTGAAGTGTTCTATTTTATTTCTTGGTTTATGCCCACAAAAATGTTACTAAAAGGATCAAAATAACTTTTTTGGAAATGGTCGTTATTAGCTAATGATGATCTAATGGTTGTTAGCTAGCGACACTTGTTAGAAACCACCCTCTGATAGCAGATTTCAATTGAAATTCCTTTTCCAGGTAGAAAAGCTGAAGCCTGGAAGAGGCAGCTCTTCGTGTACGGTTGGAAGTGGCTGTTCAGAAACACAGTGCCATAATTACCTTTATGCAATTGCTCACTGGCACAGAAAGAGCACCAAAAACTGTCCTCTGGAGCCTGTACCAGAGGAATTCATCAATCCTGTGTCGTGACTTTGAATGTGAAAGGGCTCGTGGGGATGCTTTTCCATGGCTGCATTTTGGGAAATGTTTTCAAGGCTGTGTGTCACGGGCTGTGCAGGGCTGTGCAGTGTTTCAGCACGGGTGTTTCCACTGGTACAATTCTTGGCCTCTTCCCCTGTGTAGATCTGGAATCCTGTCTATCTGCATCCTTGGGAGACAAATGCCTAGGGCAACAACTGTAGATAATAACTCGCGATTTGTGTCTTTTGCAAGTTACAGTCATTGTAAACTGACAGCTGTGAAGGACCTAAACTCACATCAAAGGATACAGATCATCTAGTTAGGTCAATTAATGTTAATTCTCATCTTCCATTAAATTCTTTTATCTTCTCTCTTTTTCTTTTTTTTTTTTCTTTTTTTCTTTCCAGCCAAGCCCAATACCAAGTCCTGTTTTGGGGAGAAAGCCAAACGCTAGTCAGTCATTGCTCGTGTGGTGCAAAGAAGTTACAAAAAACTATAGGGGAGTGAAAATTACCAATTTCACCACGTCGTGGAGAAACGGTTTATCCTTTTGTGCAATATTACATCACTTTAGACCAGACCTAATGTAAGTTGTGTGCTCTTTGCCTGCATAAGCTAACTCTCATAGAAATACTGAACAATTTTAAAACTTGAAAATCAAATACCAGTGTGTTTTAGGTGCTGAACTGTTTTTACCCTTTGCTTTCAAGCAGGGAACCGTCCTTTCTAAGAAACCAGGTTTATGAATGCTCAAACTTTGTGACCTCTTTGCTCTCCCTTGTTGCATAAACAATTATTTCTCTCCTCTCTGTGATTTGTTTTTCTTCTTCTTAATCTTATACAAAGAACTGACTTCAAGATGATTATGAGAATTGCGCCAGTGTTGAAATGAGATGAGAGGAATAAGCTCTTTGTATGCTGACAAGGACGGATTACCTCCTGGTAAATTTGGTTGTCAAGGCTGGCCTCTAGTCTCTGCCTTAACTTCTTTTTTAGATGGAGAGCTTCAGGCAATGAAACATGTAATCGGTGTTTATTTATTTATTTATTTATTCCTTTAATTTTCCACACTATTAGTTTTGTTGATTGAATTGCTGTGAAATTGCTAGTTACTGTATGATATTATTGTATGTCAAATTTTTAGATTTAGTTTGTTTTAAAACTGCTGCTTTTATCAAATACTGTATATACCCACTGTGCCATTTTCCCCCTCAGTGACTACAAGTCCCTGAATCCTCAAGATATTAAAGAGAACAACAAAAAGGTAAGAACTGCCAGGCAAAAAAAACAAAACCAAAAAACAAAACCGTAGCCTCAATTTTGACTTCACTGCAGGTTTTTATTAATTTTGGGGAAGTGTGGTTGTTTTGTAAGGTCATAACTGTGGCTCACAGAAGGTATCCAGCCTCCCGCGGTTCAAATCGGATGTGTTATTGACTCGAGTTTGTCATGGTTTTAACATTCACAACAAGTGCAAGGCTGCCATTAGAGTTTAATATTTGTATGGCCTACATTAACTGTGAGAGCAGAGGAGGGGCCTGGCCAGCCTTCTGTGAGCGCTGCTCTGGTTTTTCCAATCAGCCACGTAATTAAAAGAATGAAAAATGTAACTGCTCTTGGACTGTGGCACACAAGGCTTCTCTTGCTTTAACAAGGCTCTGCGAGCTGGGCACGGTTGATGTTGCTTTGATGGTGATGGTTATATTTTTAAAGATGGAATTTTACGCCTACTCTTACACTGCATCAGCTGAATGAAGTAGTGTGCACAACATGGGAGGTTTAGGATAAAAGGTGTTGAGATGTTACTTTACAAATAAATTGAATGCTAGCAACATAGTTAATAGCCTTGTGCTGTGCAACTGTTTTAAACCACTCTTTGTAGGTGCAAGATGTAAAAAGTTTCTCTGGAAGAAGCAGGAATTCAGTTTGGGGATCGCTGGAAGACCGTTTATTTCTGCTCACTATTTTATATATGTTACAAGCTTCAGTTGGGCCCTAGGGACATGTTTAGAAATTACAATTTTCATGTGAGTCACTGATAATAAAATTGTTCCTGAAGATCATCTGAAAATTGTTTTAAGCATCTGCCTTCTTAAAGCTGTGATTTTATTTTTATATTGCTTTAAAAGGCACTAAATTTAACGGGGATGAAGGTATAAAAATATACTTTGAATAAATTACCAAGTTCAATTTTATATAGCAAACCTATCTACAATCTAGTATTATTTACTTACCTGGAATTTCTGAAAGTACTTTATTAAAATTCACTTTGTTTATATTTTAATGTGCCTGCACACTTATGTGTTAGATAGGGAGTTACTTGTCTTTAATTTAGTACTTAAATATTATAAATAATGAAATATCTCTGAGCTGTTCCTATCTAATGAATATTTGGCTGATGATATTTTTTTCATAATAATAGGAGGACTTATAGTGGATTATCTGTGGCATCACAGTGTTTTCTGTGAGCATATGTTTTTGTACTTCAAGTTTTGTTGAGCATCTGGCCTAACTGAGCTGGATTATAAAAAAGAAGGAATAGATTATTAATTAAAAATGTTAGCAGTATGACCAGTCATCTTTTCTTTGTGAAACTGTGATGGCAAACAGTGAACTTTTTAGTCTGTCTCTAACAGGATGTAGTTCCCAGAATTGAAGAAATAGTGATTGTTGTTATTGTGCAGTTTTTTTCTTTCATCACTTTGCCAGCCTTTGCCTGACAGCTACACTGAGTATCTCAGTTGCTTCCTGCAGATTTATTTCCTGGTCTCACACAGTTCTGCCAGATAACCCCGTGTGCCCTTGGTTGGAGTGAATGCAGCACTGCCAACAATGGCTGCCTAGAAATTCCATGCAGATATGTAACACATTTGACAATGATTCCTCCTAACCAATTAAAATAACATCTTTGGATGAATAGGATGATTTTCTTTGTCTGAAGCAGCTCTTTTTTTTTTTTTTAATGTTTTTCTGCCTTTCTTTCCCTCTCCCCAAAGGGAAAACCATAGATTAAAGGTTTACCTGTAAGAGTATATATTTTAGAAATGCATGACCTTTTTTGTATTTTAATTTTTAAAAAAAGAGGAAATCTTAAGATTTCTTAACAACTGTTTCAGTGCAAATGCTGTATATAATTAGGGATGGAAATGCCCTCTTAAAAAAGGCATGTCATCAGAGGTTCTTTATAACACACACCAACCACTTGCCAATTGGATGCTGCCACTGATGCTGAATAAAAAAGGGTATTTACCTGTGACATCTGATCTTGGCCAATATGTCAGTGTGTTACAGAGTTGGGAAATGATTGGAATACTGCCTGTGGTGCTTGTGCTGATGGATCCCAATTGATGTCTGTCAATCAGCTTGTCAGTAAATTTAAAAAAAAAAAAGAAAAATACTTCATTGGGAGATAGATAAATAGGCTTAGTGTCCTGAATAAACATATATTTTAAAAATCCCAAACAACTACTGCATTGGCATGAGTCTGAATTGGAAGGTATTTTTGGTGCACATTGGAATTCAAATTTCTATGAGGAATAAAAGAGAAACCAGGATTATCTTTGAGAAAATTACAAACATTACAGGGATACTTTCCCAGCTGGTCTAAAGAGTTGTGCTTCTACTTAAATCTCAGATATAGCTAACTATCCATGCTGCCTTCCTAGTAGTGTTGAACAGCTAATTTGATTTAATATGTTCATTTGATTATTGTTAAATAATAATAAAATTTAAATTAGTGGAAAATGCATTAAAATTACAGCATACTAGCACTATGGTTTCTTATCAACATTAGAAGTATTTTGTGTTGCTAATAACATGTCCTGCACTTAAAAAATATAAGCTACTAAACAATGCTTGGGCTGAATCTTTGACAAGATGAAGGAATGAGGAGTAGAAGGCACAACAGTATGGTGCTAATAATGAATTTCCAGTTTTAGTCATTGTTTAGAGCAGCTTGGTTCATTTATCATGTGGGTATATCTTTTGGATGTTCAATTGGCACTTTTAATTTTTATGATGCTCCCCGGTTCTTGGTTGTTTCTAACAAATTCCTCAATACATTTGAACTTGAGTGATCATCTTAATAAAATATTCCATTTTTTAAATGAATTCTTTTAAATTATACATTTTAAATTATACATTTAAATAATAAAAGAATTCAGACTTACGGGGTAGTATTGAGTCAAAATGGAAAATATTCCTTACCTTAAAACTGAAGTTAATGTTTTTATAATAGGTGTTCATGCTCACCTCTACAATTTGATTCCACAAAGTCATAAGAACAGATCTAATTGCATGTGTAGGAGATGCTTGTTTGCATCAGTATGATAATGTAGAAGCAGAGTTAAGCATGCAGAATAATAAATATTTGCAAAAATTGAGGCTGAGTTATGCCTCTCATAATTTGATAAAAATAATTTGACTTGGAAAATTTACTCTGTTTATACCATGTTACAAACTAATTAGAAATATGATGCATTTATAAATATGCTGGAATATCAGGAAACTCCCAGCTTTTCTAGTAGTGAAGGACAACCCATCACACAGTGCTTATGGACACATCCAGAACACACAATTGCTATTTCTAGAACTACTGTCTGTAGAAGATTGGCATGCCAATCTACATATCTAGTGTACTTTGAAAGGAGAGAAGCAAAAATATGGATGAGAATGAGAGGGGATGGGGAATAGGTGTCAGGCATCAGCAGGAAATAACTGTGTTTAATCCCAGGCATGACCAGAAGAACTGAGCAGTCAACAAAAACTGATTGTAGCTGTACTGAGAATATCCATCATTCCAAATTCAATCCTGGTGTAGTGTTACTTCTAAGTACCTTTCCTGAGACCTGAAACACTGTCCTCACACACTGACTTCATTTTATAGACCCTGGGAGATACTAATAGAATTTAGTTTTATTAGCATATAAATAAGAAATTGAAAGTATAAAAGGAGTTTAGGTCAAGTCATGTCTATGGGCTTTGGCTGCCCTGGCTGCTGTGCCTGTCCTTAAGTCCTGTCATTCTTCAGATGGTGAAGATTCTTCCCACTACCTGCAGTGTGGGGTAACAAGTTATTTATGCCACTGAATCAGCACTGACCCACTTAGCAAACAGCACATCCTGGCATTACCTTTAGTCTACAGTCAACACGGGTGGCTTGCTGTGTGTTCATGCCCAGCCTGGTTTCTGCTGTCCTATGAGCATCCATCATTCCTGGGGTCTGCCATGCCCTAGGCTGCCACCCAAACCCCTGCACTGCTCTCCCTTAGCTCGCTGCTCTCTGTGCTCCTCATGTCTATTCAGTTCCACCCATCTTGTCTCCCTCTCCTCCACAGTCAGCTTGATCCTGCTCCTCCAGCTCTGTTTCCCAAGATGCTGTAAATGACAAACGTCCCTCTTCTACCATCCAAGTTGCTGCCATTTTCTCACACCTATCATTTTTCTGCTGTTCTGCTCCATCTGGAGTTTTGTATCAGCAAATACATCAGTCATGTTTGCCACTGCTGCTCCTATATCTAAGCACAGCCCTAGTTATGGTATTTATAAATGCCATAACAGTCTCTCCTAATAATAAACCTTCCCATGAAATACTACACCAAATACCAGCAATGATTTTAGGGCTCTCTCAATGATTCTGGGGCTCTCCCTATGCAAATCATTTTGCATGGGGAGAGCCCCAGAAGAGCTTAAAAATAAATTATTCACGCCATTTCTATGTCTAGATAAACTCTAGGATTCATTTGTTACAATGAAATAAAAACTACTTCACCTAAAGTGCTTTGGAAAGCTGTACCTGGGTATGAGAGGAGGCATGCAGAATTTTGGGAAGATAAATTCCAGCTTTTGGAAGCAGAATTTGAAAAGCAGCTGAAACAAAAACTGTTGGACCATGGAGTAGGGAATGACATTGCAAGGAGGAGGAGAGAGCCTCTTTCTCTCAGAGCAAACAAAATATCTGGGTCTGCCAGGAGCAGGCCAGCCCAGCCCCACATTCTGTCTCACTGTTGAATACTTAGTAATATGAAAACCAAAAGGATTTAAAAAAAAAAAACCGTAATTGTTTTATTTTTTTCTCTATTCTTTTTAAACTAAAGAAATTAAGGAAAAAATGTAAAGTTCAAGAGTTGAAGCCAGTGATGTGTGTTACTGTTTCCTTGTGAAAGGACAGTTTTCTCATCCATGTCTTAAATTTAGCATCTGCTTTTGTTCAAAATAGTGTAGGATCAACTGTGAACATTGTAAGCCCCTTCAGGAGATGGTGAAAAGGAGCTGCAGGATTCCTGGGGGAGGAGAAGCCCACATGCTTTAACTGAGTGCATCTACGCTAACAGGAGGCCTTTTAAAGACTTCCTTGAAACACAATATTGTCTTCCAAGGTTAATCCAGGATAGTAATAATTAATTGTAAATTGAGAAACGGCTTTAATTCTTCAAAACTAGAAAAACCTGATGCACCAAGCCCACTCACTTAAAGGGCCAGCAGTAAAAGAAGGCAATGTGGCCTCACAAAGTGAGAGGCTTGCAACTGTTCAGCTTTTAGAAAGTAAAGTGAAATGGGAATGATTTTCACTCTCTCTTTCTTATAAATTTAGCATCAACAAATGTTTTTAGAATACATTTGCTTGATGGATTAATGTGATTTATGTCTAGTGTCAGGTAATCTGTGGTGGTGTTCCTTTTGACTATCTGGACATAGTTTTTCATCAGCAGGAATCACTTCAATTACATGACCAATAGAAGGCAGAAGGTTGATCATCAATGATAAAGCTCGAGATGGATTAGTGTCGTGTTTCTTATATCTTTGTTCCTTATCTTAAAAAGCCATCCTGAGTTCCTTTTTTTTCTGGCCCAGCTCTTAGACTTTTTTTGTTTGCTTGTTTCCTGCTACTTGAGTGGGAACCATTTAAGATATTGGTAGGTTTTCCTAGTGCAAAAAGAAGGGCTTTCAAGCTGCAGTTTCATGAATAGCTGTTTAGTCATAGAAGTGTCACAATTTTGAGTAACAAAAGATTTTAGTATAGTATGGCATTGAAGTATTTAAAAAATATTTAAAACAATGCTATTTGAGTGGTTTTGCTGGTTACATTCTCTCAGTTTGCTTTACTATGAAGATGTCCTGGGACATATGCAGAAGCCATCAGGACAAATCAATGAGCTGGATGTCGGATGGTGCACCAAAAAGTAGTAGTAACTATAATGAATAGAATAACAGAATAAAGAATAATAAGTAATAGAGTCAGAGCCATGTTCTCCCTGTAATACTCGATATGTTTTAGGTTTGCTTATTTTGACTGAAACTTCCACTTGCATTCTTGAGATATTATGATGGGTAAGAAACTACCACACTGTGATCTTTATTTTGTCTGTCTTTAAAGGCTTACGACGGGTTCGCCAGCTTGGGAATATCGCGCTTGCTGGAGCCTTCGGACATGGTTTTGTTAGCCATCCCCGACAAACTGACTGTTATGACCTATCTCTATCAGATAAGGGCACATTTCTGCGGCCAGGAGCTGAACGTGGTTCAGATAGAGGAGAACAGCAGTAAGAGCACCTACAAAGTGGGGAACTACGAAACGGACACAAACAGTTCTGTGGACCAGGAGAAGTTCTACGCGGAGCTGAGCGACCTGAAGCGGGAGCCCGGGCTGCAGCCGCCGGACAGCGCTTTGGCTGACTTCGCCTCGCAGGACGACTCCGTGTTCGTCAACGACAGCGGCGTCGGCGAATCCGAGAGCGAGCATCAGACTCCTGATGACCACTTAAGCCCGAGCACAGCTTCCCCTTCTTCACGCAGGACTCGAAGTGACACGGATCCACAGAAATCCCAGCAGAGTTCTGGAAGGACTTCCGCGTCTGAAGAAATTGGGAAGTGTAGCAGCACAGACACAACACAAGTGCAGCCTGTGTTGGGAAGGAAGAAATTGCTGATAACTGACACTTTAGACTTCAGTGACTTAGCACATGTCAGTGATCAAAAAGAGGATATGTCTCCCACAGTTGCTTGTGAAGATAACAACAAAAAGAGACACCAGAGCTTAGACAGTACCCCTGGTTTCTTGGAGCAAGAAAAGGTGGGATGTATAGGATCCACAGAGAGCACAAGAGCAGATCCCAGTTCACCTGTCACAAAACCAAGTTTATCTCCTACTTCTAAGCCTGGATACTCCTATAATATGGATACAGATCTTGCAAAGAAACCACATGCTTCTCCGAGGCAAACAGAATCTGATTCTGACAGTGATGCCAGAGCAGCTTTAAATCATGCAGATCAAACTGCAAAAACAGCCCAGGTAAGACACATTTGTGTCTGTGAATTAGGATGGAGGTGCTGTTCAAGTTCTTTCTCTGTGTTTATAATTTACACCAAATCTTTAGCATAAATGGTGAGGTGAGCAGTGTATTTTTATTTTTGGCAATAAATATTTTGCCTGAGAAGTAGGTGGTGCTGAAAAATAATCATTACAGGAAAACTAATTTGCAGAAATTGTCCCACTGTTGATCTTTCCAATCTCTCTGCAATTAAAGAAATTTGTGTTTTCACTATCTCAAAGATGGCTCCAAAGCTTTTGCTGCTGTCTGTTGCAGTTCATTTCCTCTGAGTGTTGCATACTGAGGCAAAAACTGGAAATAGAAATCAATTCATTAGGAAATGTAAAGCTTTGAATACCTTAAAATTTACCAAAGACATTTCAGAATCTTGTCTGGGAAACCACAGAGTCTCACGAACATAGCCAGGATGGTGAGGTAGAAACTCCAGACTGTTAAATTATGCTGCTTTCCATTGAGTGGCCTAAGGCATGTTACTTCACCACCATATCATTTTCCTTTCTATAAAGATAACAGTGTATGCCCACCTACCTTGCAGATTTTTTTGTGAGAATGGAAGTTGAATATTATATATATGCTGAGTATTATCAATAAATCATATCATCATAAAAATATGTAAAACATGTTAACACCTCTACTTACGAGAATGCCAAAGCAAGCTTATAATTTTACCCTTGTGAAGAGTTTTCTTGAGTTTGGGCTTTGTGCCATTAGCTCTGGTAAGAAAAGAATATATCCAGTCTTCTGGTAGTATGAATTGCTTCAAATATTTTTATGGGATTTTTTTCTGAGTAAGCATTGTAAAGATGATTTTATCTTTAAGAGAAGCAGTCTACAGATGAGTGATAGTGGCCAAATATTGGTTCCAGAGTCCACTCATTTCTTTCTTTCCTTTAATCAATGAAGTCATGTGAGGTTTCTTATCATCATCATCATTATCATCATCTTTGTGTACTGGATGAGAAAGGAGCAGTTCGGCCCATACAGAATAAAAGAGCAGGAGGAGACAGGATTTGTTCTCTGTGAAGATTTTCATGGGCAAGGGTGTAACAGGCCAAGAAAAAGCAGGAGTTGGCTTTCAAGGCAGTTCTTCGTTGTTCATTATTGGTACATTTGCATATGGCAATAAAATCTCAGATGTGAGGCTCCCTCTGAACCTACACTCAGTTGTTGGTTAGAGTCAACCACCTCCGTTTCCATGTCGTTGTTGCAGGAGCACGGCAGGCATCACCTGTCCCAGCCCTGGCTCATGTAAAGGCCTGGAGATGCATTTTCCCACTCTTCTTAGTAGACCTTGACTAAGGAACCAGCCCTTGGGAGTGTGTCTGCCTCGGAGCTGCTCTTGTTCTTGTGTTGCCTGTGCAGAACCCCCTTTTGCTATTTCTGCTCTTAAAGTAGGCTCAGTCCTTTGTAAAGAAGAAGGGACTTGTGCATATTCATAAATTCAGTAGAAGCAGATATTTTTTGAGGGTTTTTTGCCTTGTACCCAGCTTCTTTGTGTTCAATTTAAGTTATAAGTGAGTGGTACCCATATAAGTAGACAACAAAGCATTTTTGTTGTAGCCATATTTGCATACATATTAAAGTAAATAAGTAAACACAGCACGTTTGACATGGCTTCTATGGAGCCATTTGGGTTTTTTCCACAGTTGCAGTTTAAAGGCATTAAATGTTGATAGAAATTAAGTTTTAAGGGGAAGGAAGAGAACTCCAATTTACATTATAAAGGCCTACGACTTTTTTTTTTTTTACATTTTGATCATCTTTTCATTTCTACAGAATGCTCTGTCACCTCATGAAGACATAATTCATGTGGCTCCTGACCTTCATTGTATAGGAAGGCCACTGGCTATTAACTGCTGTATAAACCTTCAGTACCCTGAGGCTGCCTTGCTGTTAATTATATTTCTTTATTTTTAAGCAACGTATGTTGTCAAGACAGGAAGAACTTAAAGAACGAGCGAGAGTTCTGCTTGAGCAAGCAAGAAGAGATGCAGCATTAAAGGCAGGGAATAAGCAACTAACCAGTACCCTCATCCCAGCCCGCAATAAGCAGCTGAACGATGTAAGAAACACTGGCCACTCTTGCAGTTTGCAGAGTTACAATGCATTGTGTGTGCTGTCGTGGGGGGAGGCATGTCCTTGCAGAACATTTCTTCTCTACGTTTGATGTGTCATGTGTCCTTCATTCACATCTAAAACCTGTTTCTTCTGATGTTATGGCCAATAGAAAGGTGCCTCCCACTTCCTTGGAAGCAGAAGTCTGGGAGCATCTTCTTTGATTGGCACTGCAGTTTCTGGTGGGATGGAACTCAAACATTGCTTGTTAAATGATAGTGAAGTAATTTGTGCTATTTCTGATTGCTTCTCTTTCAGTTAATGTAAATCATTTCCTTGAGCCTCTGATGTGAGCTCCTTGCTGCTTTAGAAGTGTTGTTGCAGTGAATGGAGCTGCTTGTGTCAGTGTTGTAAAAGAGTTGATGAAACAATTTCTTTTTATCACCAAAGTTGATTATGCTGGTGAGGGGGGAAAGTGGAGCTGGGGAATGAGCTCCAGTGTTGAAGCAGCTGTGGTTGCATCTCCAGTGGCTTCCATGGTGACCTGGAAGGATCCCTACTCTCTGGAGATGAAAGCTAATTAATTTTTATGCAAACCTTTGCGATGCAGGTTTTGTGAATCTAACTATTGCACATTAGAGACTGTACTGGCAACTGGGAGTGTAAATATAACTGAAAAATAATGATACAGAGAAAGGCTGGAACCTTTACAGATTCCCACCTTTGAGAGCCAAGTCCTGAGGGGCAGATTCTCCTCTTTACAAGAATGGGATCATAAAATCAAAAAATGAAGGCAGTGATTTAACGCATTTCATTTTATTTTCCTAACTCTCTTGGATCCAGGCTGGTTTTTCTTTTTTGTAGAAATTCCTCTCCGTAGATTGATACTTCATTTTACTTTTAAATATATTCATATACACAGACGAGTCTTATTTATATACTTATTTGTATAATGATATATAAGATAATTTTTTCTTCTTCCGTTTTTAAAGTTTTTCCTATATATGTATATTTTAGTGTAAATTTCACTTCGGAATTTTTTTTTAAATTATCTTTTCATAAAGAAAATGGCATTAGAGGAGAGTTACTATAGGCAACTACTCAGGCAGAAACAACTGTAATTAAAGTTGCCTAACATTTTTTATTACAAGCTCCTATTTTCAAAGGTTTTACAACTTTGCTAGTATTTCATTGTTTGAGCTGAAATCTTCCCTGTCAGCTCTTCTGCCTCAGGGTAATATTTTTAGGGTTTTTTTTAACATCAAAAAATCCTGATCATCTCTTTCTCTGTATTAGGTTTGACAAAGCATTTTTTACTCATATTAAAAATAGGTAAAATTTGAAAAGATGGTTAGATTCCCTTGAAAAATCTGTTCAAAATAGTCAAAGTTGTGTTAATACTGCAATCTTGTCAGAGAGCCTTGAAGTTCAGAAAAGTTCCTAAGTGTCAGTAAAAATTGTCTGCATGGACACTGCCCAGCAAGAGCATCTTTTACCATTGCTCTCCTAAGGATCAAGGCTCCTTCTGATGAAGGTCATAGTATTGGGAAGCAAAACTTTCTCTTTTAGCCTCAAATTCCTGCTAATGAAATCCAAACAGGAGTAAAAGCAGCTGCCCCGGTGGCATACAGAGAAGAGGTGCCCTGGGTAGGTGGCAATGTGAAGTTACACAATAAGGAAGTTGGTGTCCAGGCCGTGAAAACCAGCTGGAGGGTAGGAGATGGTGAAGGGTTTTCAGGGTGAGAGTTAGGACTGCCACAGGACCTTATTTCATTTGTTACAGAAGCTGAAAAATTAATTAGAAGCCTGCAGGAAAAGGAAGGGCAGTCTTTAGGGCGTCTTGGCAGAGGCAAAGTTTCTTGCTGCCTCTGTCAGAAGCTCAAGGAGAACTGTCCTGGAACAAATGGTCCTGGCCCATGTGAAATGTGGGCACTCTTGACTTGAGTTGTTTGTCACATAAGAATGACAAAAGCTCCTCAGCTCTGAAGTGTGTCGTGGAGATGTGATTTGGAGACTCTTACAGTTGGTATATAATAATATACATTATATAAAGCTGTGTATAACATGTATGTATATGTTATATACATATATATAACATATATATGTATATAACATGTATGTGCCAATATTAATGCATGTGTGCATCAACATATATATGTGTAAGATAAAATACATTGATTCCTGTTTTCCTGTAATATACTTGATATTAGCAGAGATGAGGTATTTCCTTTTGATGGAGTTCTGCCAGTTTTCTACAGGTCATCGCTCATTTGATTGTTAGCATATAGCACAGACTTATTTCTATTCATGGCTTTTTGGTCATTAAGGTTAATAATAAGAACTTTGACTCAAACCAGTGTTGTATGTGTCAGTGTGCAGTAATGTGTAGTAGTGTGTTATCCAAATGAGAGTTGTGATAATGAGAATCAGCATTTAGTAGTGGAAATTGGACGAGGCTCATTTTCAGGATGGATTGAGATTCAAAAGAAAATGGTTTGAAACAGGAAGATCTAATTTTAAATAAGAAAACTTTGAAGAGATAGTTCAGGGGCAATACTTTTGAAAGTAACTCTTGAAGTTTGCAATTGCACCTTTTTTGATACCTTCTCAGAAAGAGCTTTGAGCATCGTAGTCTTTCAGACTGTGCTGTCAGTCACCCCAGCTAAGCAAAGCCTGTGGAGTCCTTAATGACTTTAGAGAAGTCTCATCTCCTAGGCCTTGCTGTTAGCACTTTCCATGTGTCATGTGAGAACCAGGAGTTTCTGCTTTCCCAGTGACCAGGCGAGAGCAGCGTTCAGTGCGTGGGCTTGGATGATGTGCACGGTGAGGACGGGTAGTGGCCCTGCTCAGGGTCAGCAACAGGGAGGAAATTTCCACATCTGTACATGGCCATAAATACAGGTTTATTTGGTGTGTGCCTGCCTGATTTGTTTTGGTAAAAGTCCATTTTGAAAAAAACAGCATTCCAGTTTCTCCTCTAAGCACAGTACAGCCTCATTTCTCCCATTTCTTCCCTCCTTGCAGCATGATATAAGTTTTTTCAGTATTATGTCTGCTTATTTGGTGCTTCTCAGAAGCCTTCAATCTCAAGCTGTATGCATGCCAGACAATATGTGGAGGTATGTGTGCAGGTATTTGAAGTCTAAGAAGAAACTGCATTGATCAGAACCTCCTTGAAATCATGCTCATGGTTTGGGAGGATCATAGCTGTGTCATTAAAATTGATGCAGCCCTTTGGAGACGGGAAGAATTAGCTTAAGAGCTCTGTGAGCAGAGGTACTGATCCCCTCGTGGATCCCTTTCTCTATGGTAGATTTATAAACAGCTCAGCCTTTCTGCTTGCTTTCTTGATGTATGTGTGCATGTGGTGACTCTTTTACGAGATGCTTCTGTCATTTGCAATCTGATATAGCAGCTGTAATCACTTAGCTTTTAACCAGGAGGGCCTTTTTATTAGCTTACTCATTTTTTATTTAACTTGCCTTTTCTCATGGTGAATATCACAGGGCTGGAAGGGACATATCTGCTCCCTCCAGATGCTGTAAAATATCAACCTGTAGTGATGGTTGTTAGCAGCGGCAGCTTGGCTGGAATGTTATGTTGGAAAGGTGAGGAGACTGGAGCTAGGCTGTGTGACCTATCCAACAAAGTGACAGGCTAGAGGGGACCACACTGAGTGGGAAATACTCAGAAGTCATGGGCCTAGAAGGCCTTTCCAGGAGGGGAATCCTCATCTGTAGAACATGGGATGGATCTCTAATTCTTGAATCTCAGCATAACTCTGCTGTCAGCAAATATGTGTAAAGGCCGTTGGCAAAATCTTCTTATTTTCTTTTAGTGACTGGGCCACGTAAAGAATGGAAATTTACTGCAGCTGTCATTTACTCTCCAAACTCAAATGGCTATGGTTATGGAGTCAGCATGATTACAGAGAATGGAATTAGGAGTTAAGAAATTCACAGGCAACTTTAATTAACCTCCTTTGTGTATATGCATTATGATGTAGTCTTTAATTATGTGATCACATACTATTTTCCCCAAAGCAATTGTGTCTCATTTTCCTCAGAGGATAGAGGTGATGTAGAAGGCTGTTTGTCCAGAGGACCTCTGTGCTTTTGATTGCAGAAATTGAAAGGTGCATGACAAACGAAGCAGGGACTGTGAGGAGTGAAAAGATGAGGTCATGGTTAAGGTACTTGAAAAAATTAAATGTACTTGTGCCTTTACCCGAGTTCCTAATCAATGCCACTAAGTCTTTTGAGCCAAATGTCCTCCAGGTGGTCACTATTTTTGGTGTCCTTCCTTTCTTGATTGCTTTGAGGCAAAAGTTTGATTTGCAGATATATTGAGCATCCAGGTCTGTCAGGGAAATCAATTGGAGCTGTGCTTGAGACATATAAATGGCTATAAAGCTTGGTATACTGAAAAAAAATCCAACCAATAGGCTTCCCAGAGCAAGCACCCAGTGATAGATCCTTTTAGCTGGATCTCTCCTGGATCCAGGAGAGATCCAGAACTGAGATCCTGGATCTCAGTTCTCATCAGAAGAGCAGGGTAATAACTTCCATGGCTTGTTATGAGAAGGGAATGTGATTAATGCTCTTGAGGCTCTTAAATACCATAGATGTGGGCACTGTAGAAAGAAATCAAGAAATTAACAATTCTGTCTTCAGAGCAAGATTGGAATATTGTGGTGTAAAGAATAATGTTACATGTTGATGGGAATTCATGAAAAGTAGTGCTCATCTGGCAAAGGATGTGTTTTTCTCCCCACTAGGGGCTACAGATAGTTTCTGAAGTTACTTGGGCTTTGCATGAGCTAAGGATTCCTTCTTGGTGAATTTAGGTGCAGGACTGGGCCACCCATAAATGGACTTGGCCAAAAATTTTACATATTTAGGATCTGGCATAGATTCATGGATGCAGGAGTTCAGTAGCATGATACCTGGAGGGAATCACTCTGTCTTCTGCCTTTTGTGCAATAGGAAAGTAGTAATTCTTTCTTCA